ATTATACCAAATAATTTTACCAAATAATCTTTGGTACTAGATGTTTGAATTTAATTTTTGAACATGTAATGCGTTCTGTATCTGGTATATGGATAAACAAATCTGCCCTGCCTCTCATGTCTCAGAAACATAAAGCCCATCTTGCAAGCAGAGACAACACAATTAGAAGTGTAGCCTATCACTTCTGTAGCTGCTGGGCATACTAATCAGATTTCTATAATACCCTGTCACCATGACAACCCGTGACTCTGAAATTTTCTCATTAGTGTTTGACCAGCACATGGTCCTTTTAATAGATCTTCCTGTTTTTCCAGTCAATTACTGAAATTAAAATGAGGTGAAATACATCATTATTCACTCATAGTATGAATTTACGTTCAGTACTTTCTCTGGCAGAATTTTAGTAAAATGTAGCCACACTCCTTTTTTCTAGTGCATGTGGGATAAAAATAACGGGAGAAAATACATTTAGCTATATGTGTTTTAAGTAAGAGATAATGAATAGCAAGTGTTCCATTTGTAGAATTGGTGAAAATAATAAATGATTATTAGAAACAACAGCAAAAAAGCTCTTTTTTATTTAAGGTAGAGATCGGTTCTGAAGGAGTTTATATTTCAGGCCTCAGACATTTTATAATGCTTACTGCAGGTAAATCAACACCGAAGACCATACATTATGGACTATAATATATATAATATATGCATATATATATACATACATAATATTTATACCTTAAAAGTTGTTTCTGAAATTTAAGTTTGTGATATTTGATTTTTAGTTTTGCTTAGATAATTTGGTTGGTAAAAAAAGAATTTATTGTTAAAGATAATATCTTTCCTATTTATATACTCATCTATAATCAAAGAATCAAACATAAAATAAATTTGATTCAAATATGACACTTTAATCTGTAGTTGGATCTTTGATTAATAAATGCAGTCATAGTCTTCCTCAGAGCCAATCTTTGTGATTAGCTTGATTCTGCTCCCTTGGATGAGGTCCAGAGTAGACACATTATAATGTGACACCTGCCTAATTCCTCTTCTCTTCACATAGAAAAATAAACTACATTTTCTTTACTTTATTTTTAATTGCAATTGTTTCTAGTTGAGTGTTTTCTGTAACTTCCAGTTGTATGTATTCCTGATTACTATGACATTCAAGCCACTGTGTCTCCTGCCACAGTGACATAATTCAGATTTCTTTTGGGGGTCAAACCCACTTGATATGACAGTGGTATATACACTGAGTGACCCAAATCAGTTTTAGTCATCTTATTTCCCTTGTCATAACAGACATCTTCAATACATAAACGACAAACACAACAGGCATAATAATATTAATATCAGGAAAAAGAGGACTAACAGAAAAAAGTTAAACTGGGAGGGTAACTAAATATCACTTGAGGATCAGATAATATGATGTTGAAATATACAAAACAAAGCTCGTAAATAAAAGAAGATTCTGCCAAAAGTATAGTCATCAGAGTCAAAGACTTCAAAGTATATCAGTTTTTAATATGTGAAGTAAACAAAGTTATAGTAGAATTAGAGAAATTAATAAAATAGCAAGTGTATTTAGTATTATATATTGAACTTTATGAAGAGAGATTGTAGATTCTTTGAAACCATTCATTGTTAGGTTTTTAAAACTATATAACTCTTAAACCACAAATTTAACATAAATGAATTCTTCAGAATAACAAATATACAAACTAAAGTTTGTGAGCAAGATTCAGTAGTAAAAGAAAATAAATCAATAACTAAAATATAATAAAATCTGAATTATTAAAAAGTAAATAAATGAATATTGGGTCAGAGAACTATAAACGGTTATTACCTAGTTGATAAACAGTCCCAAACACAATACTTATCAAACTTACGAGATGTAACCAGAAGTGTGCTCAGAGTAGAATTTATCACTTTAACAGTTTTATTTTTTAAATGAAAAAAAAGAAAATAAGTGAATTATGAATTTAAATTAGAAAGTACAACTGGTCAACAAATATAGAAAAGCAAAGAATGTATAAGTGAAAAGTAGAAATGAATGAATTAGAATAAAAAGAGTACATTTATATTAATCCAAAAGGTTTTTTTCAAGAAAAAATAATAAAATAAGGAACTATAATATTGAAGTAAATAGATAACTCAAAAAAAGAAAAAATACATGTAGGAAACAGAAATATTAACCTTAACAATTTGGAAAGAGTTAAAACCATAAATACAGAGATGAAAAAATATATGTTTGGAATTCTTGATAAAATAATAGATTTCTATGAAAAATAAACATCACCAATATTGAATCAAGTTGGAGCAGAGACCCAGAATAGATTAATAACAGTGGAAGAAACTGAGTTCTAGAAGTTCTGCTTTTCATTCCCATCTTCTGAAGTTTTATGACTGAGTTTTAAAAACTTTATTTAAAAAAAACAAGATAAATTAGTTAATTTTTAGGTTCACTGAATTTTCTGAGGACAAGAAAAAAATGAAATTTTATTACTGGTTTCACAAACATAGCATAAACATAATTTTAAATTGGGCAAGTGTAGTACCCCTGCCATAACTCTAGGCCCTTTTCATAATTATAGATGCAGAACTTTTAAAGAGAATGCAGAAAATGGAATTCAGTTGTATGTTTAAAAAGAGTGTCATACAATGACCAAGTAAGATTTGTACTTGAAAAGCGTGGAATATATAAGTGATCCAACTATGAGGACATCATATTATAAATTATACTAATAGTTAACATTCAAAGTTACTTTAAAGTTGTTGGGTAAAAATCTAGCATCTATACTTAAGACACAGATATTTGCAAATATTATTAAGCCCCATGTGTTGGGATTGACAAGGAGAATGGATTTTGGAACAGCTGGGAACTAAGAAGGTCTGGCAGGTGAGTGTAGAATCTGGATGCCATGGAGTCGGATGGGTCAAACGAGGAATGGGTATTCACGGGTAATAGAGCAAAGTGGGGAACGTAAAACCAAACAGGCAAAAATACCTAAAATCCAAATAGAAGCAAAGCCTCTTTGTCTAAGCCTTCGGTAGCTATGCAAGGCATTGTTACTTGTCCAGTTAGTATTTATTCTCAATAAAGGTTAGCCACATTTTTTCTTTTTCTTAATGATAATGGTTATATTTTATTAAAATATTTTCAACACTGAAATTTTCTAACATATTTATAAGTTAAAAAATAAAATGTATGTGGAAAACTTTTAACTATAAACACTATACAAATATTATACAGACTCTACAAATTGAAGGCAATTTAAAACTCTTACTGCAAAGGCTGTATTCTTTTAAAATAACACTATACACATAATTAAATCATTGTCATCTATTGTTTACAGTACAATTGGTTTTGATTGCATCTAAGTTTTTAAGTTCCTTAGTAGAATTTGTGAATCAAGACACTTTTTTAGGAATGACATGGGTAACTAATCACTGTAGAACCAGCTATTATTACATGTTTACCACTAGATGGTGATCATACAGTGGTAAGGTAAAGCACCCTTTGCATTTACTGGGTAGACTGATGAACTGGCTGTTGAAAGTGATTCATTGGTTGCTGAAAATGACGAAGGGGTGGAGCTATGCAGAGAATGTGCATTGGTGCTGCCTTTGCACTGTTGAAAGAATGAAATGTACAGTGCCAAAAAGCAGGAACCTTAAGCATAATCCTGTGCAAGGTAGACGTCATGCTCTAAACTGCTAAAACATGGAATCAGAGTTTCAGGTTGCCCAAATTAGAATCCTGCCTTCACCTTTGCTAGTCCTGTCAGTTTTCTTGTCTGCAAAATGGATGCAATAATGATATCTACTTTGTGGGTTAATTATGAAGGCTAAATTCTATCATATATGAAAAACACAAGTTCTGTTGCCTGGCAACTGTATGCTCAAGAAATGTTACCTATTATTATTTTTTATTCATTGATAGGTATGTTGAGAACTTAGATCAGAAATTTTTATAAAATTGGTAGCCTTAAACACAGTGGGTTAGGAAGGAAAGACTATATTGTGATGTCTGGGTTACACCAAGCTAGAATTAGAAGAATGCTCTCAACCATGAAACATTTGAGGATCATGTCTGAAGGTCTTACCAAGTTAAAAATAAAATCATTTATAAACTGAAAACAAATATAATTAATGCAAAAAGATGTATGTTACTCATCTGTCCTTAGCCCTTAAAAATGTGTCTCTTTAAAAATTGTACCAAGTAGCTCATCGTATTTTGCTTTTACAGAAGAGAGAAAGAATTCTGCATATTTCCTTTTTTTTAGGTTCTAGAAGGAAAATAATTGGCTAGAAACACCAAAAAAATTACTTTTTGAAATTAAAAGTATTTAAATTGAAAGCATTTAAAAATAAAATATTTTTGTTGTTTTTGAGGAAAGTAAAGCACGTAATGTTTGACCTGCTCTGTCCACACGCAGGTATTATTATTGTTGGCCCATTTAGACTAGCTTTGGGCAAATGAAACAGAGTTGTATATCAATCTCCGGGTTAATATCAATAGATCAATAAAACGTACACTACACTACCTTAATAATACATCATTTGGTCTTTACCTAATAAAGGAGGACTGCTCAATGACAGTAACATGGTTTTGAATGTAAATACAATGTCCAGTTCTCTGGTACTTGAGGTTGCATTTTCTTTGATATGACCACAGCTTATTACTTGAAACAGCACGTATCTTCCCAGATATCTCTATAAAATGAAAGTAGTTGGGATTAGTGGTTTAAACAATTTCACAGTGCTGCATTTTTTTTCCTGATCTCACTGCCTGAGACAGAAACAGAGCTGACAGCATCCTGTTAAACAAAACTTCTACCCTTATAAGCTGATTTATGAATTTGTGAGTAAATGGGTCTCTACAGAATCCCTCATATTCTCTCTTTGTGGTACAAGCTACCTGTTCATGTATTTATACAGTGCCTAAAACCATAGTATGAAAGCTCTCTGACAGGTATATCGTTTAGTTATTTAAAAATGGAAACATGGTTAACCGTTTTATTTTCTATAAACATAAAGCCAAGAGTTCAAATTTCAAAAGGTAATGAAGGGATTGACATACCATTTCCCTAAGATTGTGATGTTCTGAGCTTCAGAGGTAGATACTTTCATAATCCGGAAACCTCAGTAGATTTTTACCAAGATAATTTTGAGATATACCTATTAAATAATAAAATTCCACTTTATATTCTTTGAAGAGGTGTATGTTATGCTTCTTAATATAGTTCTTAATACAGTTTGTCACCTGTATGTGAAGAGGCTAAGCATAATAGCATACTTCTTTAAATGTTTTTCTGGTCTAATTCTAAAAGGAATACATGATCACCATAGAGAAAAGTGTTAAGAAAATAAAGATGTCCCATAGTCTCACAACTCAGTGCAAACTTGGAGAGACTGCCCAAGGGCTGTCCTCGGGCAAGGGGCGGAATCTGTTTCTACATGTAAGAAGCACCTTCTAAAGTCAGGCTTGTTTTCATGTGTCAGTGTGACAAAGAACCAGGTAGGTCATTTTATTTAATCTCTGAGAGCCTCAGTTGCTCATTTGAAAATGGGGATTACCTACTTATAAGCTTTTCATGAAGAATGCATGAGAAAATCTATCTAAAACATTTAGCAGCCCTGGGCTCAGAGTAAGCATTTGGTAAAAGTAGCACTGTTGGTGTTGTTTGGCAGATTCTAGCCGAGATCTGGTTTCCTCTGAAACCAGTATTGTCTCCAGGTCTATTGGCCTGTCTCTCTCTTTCTAGCAAGAAAAAAAAGAAAAAAAAAAAAATCTGAGGAATACTATAAGCTTATTTAGGGCAGGGTCTGTATCTTATTCATCTCTATATCCTTGGGACATAGCTTATCAATTGAAACATTATAGGGAATCAATAACTATTTAATTAAAATGAACAGAGTAGAAGATAATAGACCAGGATATGACCACTTTTTCTCATACTCTTGGTAGTATCATGTGATTATACGGATATACTCACAAACATACACACGCATACACACACGCACCACTTGTTACCACTGAGATCGCTTTATCATAGGAACTTAAAACCTAATATTAGTCCTTCATTTGACATAAAAACCCTAAAATATAAAATCTTCTCTGAATAATATTGTACTGAGGATAAATTTCAGTCAAAAGTCCAATCATTAGGGGAAGAACTTCAAAAATCTCTCCTTCATAAAAGCAGAGAGAACACTGGCAAAAATTGTCACAATTAACTTTTCAGAACTCTAGAAATTAACCAAGCATGGACCAATTAAAGGAGCATTTATTAAAAAAAAATTACTGCACCCGAGTAAGAATGTGACCTTTTTCATGTTTAAACTTGCCCCATCCGCTTCCCTTTCTTTCCCCAACTCTGCAGTAGTCTTGAAAACCAGCTGCTTCACAACCATGGTAGCAAGTAGCAGAGCAGAACAAGTTTGGAAAGCTCCACAAAGCCCCATTCTCAGAGAAATGTCACTATCTGAACTTTCAAGAAGCCCCCTGGAAACCCCTATTTGCAGGGCCTGTTTTTATTTGACCTGAGTCAGGGCTTACTTTGTATGAATGGACAATTTTCCAGGGCATTTGTAGCAAACAATCAGCAGTACATGTTTAATATTGCAGCTGCCTGAGGTAACAATAACAGTTAGGCAAACAAGAAGTTAAGCAAAATTCTTAAACAGAAAACCTAGATAATTAAATATCCATAGGGAGCATTGAAACACTATCATGTTCCTAGGAATATCAATGGACACATGCATTTGGAGGGCATGCTCAGAAAAGGTTTCAGAAGGGTCTAATCTCTCACAGCTGTCTGAGCTGTGAAGTTCAGCTCAAGCAGGAAGCAAGGGCTAAGTAAGGCAGAGTTGTGAATTTCCGGAGTGTTGAACACGTGCCCCAACAGAGCCAGTCAACAGAGACTGGATGACTCATTCGTTCAAGGCATTTAAACATCACCTGTTTAATCGTTAACAAAACAGGCAGACTTCTCTGACCCCACGCAACAAAGAATATAGACTTTATTGAATTATTTCAGGAAAATCACTAAAAACAGCAACAACAAACCCTGGAGAGGAGGAAATCTCATTTATAGACTTTCCACATTGTACTATTTAAAATGTCAGGTTTTCAAAAATGACAAAAAATTGAAAGCATGAAAAAGGGCTGGACAAGATGCTGCAGAATCCATAAATGGGTTAAATAACAAGGTGGAATTAAAATTGCAGATGGAATTAAGATAATCAGCTGACTTTAAAAAGATTATCCTGGATTATCCAGGAGGGCCCAATGTAATCGCAAGGCTCCTTGAAATGTGAAAGAGGAAGGCAGAAGGGTCAGAGAAAGAGCAATGTGATGCCATGTGTTGTGAGAAAGAGCTGCTCTCCTGGAGACGCCAGAAAGAACCAGCCCTTTTGTTATCTTGACTTCAGCCCAATGACACTTGTTTCAGAATTTTGGCCTCCAGAATTAGAAAATAATAAATTCATGTTATTTTATTTCCACTGTTTGTGGTAATTTGTTACAGCAGCAAAAAGAAAATACACATATCTTGTACTACTATTGTTAAATTTATTCCTAAGTATTTTAATCTTTTTGATGCTATTGTAAGTGAAAATGGTTTCTTAATTTAATTTTCAGATTGTTCAGTCCTAAGGTACAGAAATACAGTTGATTATTGTATATTGATCTTGTATCAATATACAATCTATATATATGTTGAATATGCATGGTAAGAGGAGATGTCTTTGTCTTATTTCTGATCTTAGGGGGAAAGTTTTCCATCTTTCATCACTAAGTATGTTAGCTGTGAATTTTTTGTAGATGTATTTGTCAGGTTGAGGAAGTTCCCTTCTATTCCCAATTTGCTGATTGTGTTTCTTACATTATATAAGCTTCATGTGTACAAATTATATTTTGACTTCTGTATACTCTACAGTGTGCTCACCAACAAAAGTTGTTTTCATCCGTCAACAGTTGACCCCTTTACCTATCTTACCCTTCCTTCACTTCTCTTCCCCTCTGGTAACACTACTCTGTCCTGTATCTATATGTTTGTTTTTGTTTATTTATTTAATTTGTTTATTTAATATGCCACATACAAGTAAAATGATATGGTATTTCTCTGTCTTATTTCACTTAGCATAATACCCTCAAGGTCCATCCATGTTGCCTCAAATGGCAAGATTTCACATTTTTATGGCTGAGAAGAGTTCCACTGTATGTATATACCACATCTTCCTTACCCATTCATCCCATCAGTGGACACTTAGGTTGTTTCCATATCTTGGCTATTATACATAATGCTGCAATGAAAATAGGGGTGAATATATCTTTTTGAGTTAATATTTTCATATTCTTCAGATAAATACTCAAAAGTGGAATAGCTGGATCATATGGTAGTTCTACTCTTAATTTTTTGAGGAATCCTCATGTTGTTTTCCATAGTGGCTGCACAAATTCAAATTCCCTCTGACAGTGTATGAGGTTTCCTTTTTCTCCATATCATCCCCAACAGTTGTTATTTCTTGGCTTTTTGGAAACCCTTTTAATGTTGCTGGATTCAGTTTGCTAGTTTTTGTTGAGGATGTTTGCATGTGTATTCACAAGAGATATAGATTGTAGTTTTCTTGTGATATCTTTGTCTGGTTTGGGAATCACTGCAATACTGGCTTCACTGAATGAGTTGGGAAGTTTCCCTCATATTTTTTGGAAGAATTTATAAAAGATTAGTGTTAATTCTCTAAATATTTGGCGAGATTCATCAGTGAAGCCATCTGGTTCTAGCCTTTTATTTGTGGAATAATTTTTATTACTAATTCAATTAGAGGTTTTTTTTTCATTTCACCTAGATTATCTACTTTGTTGCCATATTGTTGCCATATTTATTGCAAAGTTGTTCATAGCTTCCTGTATCATCATTTTTAATTCTGTAAATTTGGTAGTGATGCCCCTCTCTTCATTTTTTTTTTTAATTGAAGTATAGTTGATTTACTGGTATGTTGTCTTAGTTTCTTGTATACAACAACATGATTATACACATGTTCTTTTGCATATTCTTTTCCATGACAGGATATTGAATATAGTTCCCTATGCTATACAGCAGGACCTTGTTGTTTATTTTATATATAGTAATTTGTATCTGCTAATCCCAAACTCCTAATTTATCCCTCCCCTACCCCCTTCCCCTTTGGTAACATTTGTTTTCTAGGTCTGTGAATCTGTTTCTTTTTTGTAAATAAGTTCATTTGTAATATATTTTAGATTCCACATAAAAATGATACCATACAGTATTTGTATTTTTCTTCTGACTCACTTCACTTATATGATAGTCTCTAAGTCATCCATGTTGCTGCAAATGGCATTATTTCATTCGTTTTTAGGGCTGTGTAGTATTCCATTATATATATATCACATCATCTTTATCTATTCACCTGCTGATGGACATTTAGGTTGCTTCCATGTCTTGGCTATTGTAAATAGTGCTGCTGTGAACATTGGGGTGCATTATCTTTACAAATTAGAGTTTTCTCTGGATATATGTCCAGAAATGGGATTGTTGGATCATATCACAACTCTATTTTTAGTTTTTTAAGGAACCTCCATACGGTTTTCCATAGTGGCTGCACCAATTTACATTCCCACCAATAGTGTAGCAGGGTTCCCTTTTCTCTACACCCTCTCCAGAATTTGTTATTTGTAGACTTTTTAATGATTGCCATTCTGACTGCTGTTAGGTGATACCTCATTGTAGTCTTGATTTACATTTCTCTAATAATTAGTGATGTTGAGCTTCTTTTCATGTGCCTGTTGGCCATCTGTAAATCTTCTTTAGAAGAAGACCTTCTATTTAGGTCTTCTGCCCATTTTTTATTGTGTTGTTTGTTTTTTTGTTATTGAGTTATATGAACTCTTTGTATATTTTGGAAATTAAGCCCTTGTTGGTCACACTGTTAGCAAATATTTTCTCCCATTCCATAGGTTGCCTTTTCATTTTATGGTTTCCTTTGCTGTGCAAAAGCTTGTAAGCTTGATTAGGTTCCATTTGTTTATTTTTG